CTCCGCGCAAGGGGGATGATCGCACACGTAGTGTTAAAAATGGTCAAGCACCCTCGAGGCAGTTACACAGTGCTTACAACTGTCTCTGGAAGTGAAAGCACCAGAAAATAAATTAAGTCATACGCAGCTGTCATCCGTACGCAAGGAAGTAAGCACAAGATGCCGAACACCCTTAGCAGGATGCAGCGCACCCTTCATGCGACTCGCCGAATATCTCACGGCGCTTCGCGCGTGGTGATGTGAGAGCCTGGTCCGGTGAGAACCCGGCGTGCTCCGTCCCGGCTTTGTAGGGATGCGAGGTCAATGGTCTAACGACTACGGCATGCACGACTATGAGTACCCCCCCCCCCAACCCAAGACCACAGGTCGGTGCCCTGGATTCCTGTTTGCTTAAAAACGATGCAACTGTCGACCCGGAGCGAAGACGCCTAGCCCTGCTCACAAAACCAAACATTTTCAAGTTAAGTCCTTCACGCCACACCAAACCATGCTACATGTAAACTACTCCAAGTCTTTCTTTCTCTTGTGTTAACTAGGGTTCACTCATCGTGTCCACCAAGACGTGGGTCGAACGATAAAACCATACCCCAGTGTGTCCATGTGGGCCAGCAGTTTTCCTTCATCAGATTTGGCGACGGGGAAGGTCTAGGACGAGCGAGTAAGCCTGCAATGCATACAGTCCCGAAGAGGGAAGGCCGGGTAGTCCAAGGGCACCTCCCGCTCCGCGCGTGGCTGTTCAACTGCTGTCGAATCCAGAGCTGGGTTTCTTGCTGTTCTGTATTTGCGCCGGTGGTTGGGTCATCTCTACAACTGACATCCAGAAAACGGTGTTCATTACATTGAGAACTAACATGACATTGTTTTGGTTTTGAGGCGGATATAAGATCGTCTACCGTAGCCAACAGCAGAATTCATATGCATGTTCATCAGGATTGTGTTGGGTAGTTTAATAGCATGTTATATGGTGTGGCGTGAAGGAACTGAGTTGAGAGTGTTTAGGCTTAACTCTGATGTCCATTCACAGTCAAGTGAGGGTATGCAACGTGGATGTGGAGAGCAGGATCTGAGAATATTGGGCAGGGGAGGTTATTTGTTGGGAAATTTGTGGAATTGTTGACTAATTGAGAAGGGGGGGG